AAACCCAGCCGCATTTATATCCCCTCCGTGACCAAATCCATTTTCGTGACCTTCTCTCTCTCTCTCATCAAATCTCTATCTTCTCCCCAAATCTCTCTCAAATCTGAGCATGAAAAAACCGAAGATCCATTCCCCCCGTCCTCGCCCCAAATCGAAGCCGCCGCGAGGGATCTCCGCTCCAAGCCCTCTTTGATTCCCCTCTGAGCCGCTCTCAAATCTGCAGCGAGTTCTCCGCCGCGAGTCCCCTCTGAGCCGCCGCCTTTTGAGAGCCTCCAGCCCCCCGTTCTGTGTGCGCCACCACCAGCCCCCCTTCCCTCCTTCTCATCTCTTCCGCGAGATCGAGCCGACCAAGCCGCCGTGAGTTCCATCTTGATCCCTCTCTCGAGCCGACCAAGCCGCCGCGAGATCTCCCCTCCCCCCGTCCTCCTCCCAAATCAACAACCGCGAGATCGAGCCGCCAACCCCAGCCCCGATTTCCCTGTCAGTTAAAATTTCAGCTTATCCCTCTTAATCCCTCTCTCGATTGACCTAGTTAATTAAGAAAAAATCAACAAACATAGAGGAGGACGGTGATAAAACTGGTTTCTGCTTGCTTGTAGACTTTATTTACTATTTTTAAAATTTCATTTGAGGTTAGGAGTTTCTTTTGGGTTTATCTGTGTGCTTGCAGGTAAAATTTCATTTGAGGTCAACTTTGTTTTTGAGAATTGAGTCTTTGCTGTGAATTTGTTGTTGAATTAATTGTGTTAAAATTCTATTTGTGATGGTCTAGCAAATGATGATGGTGGATTGGAACGGGTTTGATTATATTAATCCTACTTTGGGGAATTATTAGTGACAGCCAGTTCAAGATCTATTTCTTATGCTATCTAGTCGAGTATCCTAATTATGCTATCTAGTTGATAAATGCAACCGATAATGGGTGTAGCCTGCTTGTTTACATCTATTTCTTACACCGTGTAAGATCTGTTTGTAGGGATTTAAAGTGATTTTTGGTGATGTAATAATTTTTGGTGATGCACTAATTTTTTTACCTCCAAAATGATAAATGCAACCTCTGGAGTGTTTGATTTCTGAAACCTACATGTTATAGAGTCCAGGCATGTTTTGTACTTGCAACTAAATCTATGGATGCAATTGGAATGCACCAACTTGAGAACCATGAAGTTTATATTTTTTCATGAAAGTTCATAACACATAATTTTTGCCTTGGTACAATTATATGATTAATTTGTCATGTGATTTGCAGCTAAACGAAAATATTTCTGGATTCTTGAGCTCCACATGCATGGATTTGTTCATGTAAGTATGTCGGAATTTGTTCCCTTTTTGCAACGGTCATATGGTAGCCGCATTAATGTTCAATTTAGTTTTCCGAGATAATATATAGCATTACCCTCCGCTTAGATATCACAACTTATTAAGAGGGGCATATTGTAGCAATTTAGCTTTGTTAAATTTCCTAAATTGCTTCCATTTTCTGTTTCGCTTTCAAGCATATAATAATTGGTTCCATGCATGAGTCAACATATAACATAGAACAATCTAATTATCTTTTATTTATTTTCTACTCCTGTGTAACCAGACTTTATGAATCATTTCAGGTGGCAGTTTAGCTTTCACATGCACGTGGGTGGTTCGAGCAATTGTGGCAATTTGAAAAAATCCAAGCATGAAGTCTGAATGTATCAACAATGAGTTTTGTTGTAACTATTTCTATTTTGAAACAAGAAAATGTCTCTAATTTGTGAGAGTTATTGGATGTATTATATTATGGTCGATACATTTGTGCTGCATATGTGTTTATCATTTGCTACATTTGTGCTGATGTATTCAGGCAATCTTAGCTACATTTGAACTGTGCCTGCATTTGATCAAAGAACTGGTTTATAAGTCAGCTGTCATATATTTTGGCCATTTGATTTCGTTTCATGCATTTTCTGCAGATGAAAGCTTGGGCAAAGCCTTATGATATCAACAGCTCAAAAGATCGCACCATGAGCTCTTTGTCTATAATATCTCTTTGTTATCAGTTTGATGTTATTGGATTTGTGCTTATTATAAGTTGAAGCTATTAAGCTGCATTGGCGCAGTGCTGTACTAAGTTCTAGAGTACCAGGGGGTGGAAACTGGAAGCATCAGAGTCAGAGCTGGCAGTGAATTTTCATTTCAACACAAATTCTATAGATTTACATGTTATCCTGTATTTGCTTCTCAAGTACAAGAACAATGAATATCACAAATGAGCTTCGTTGACTTCTCAAGTACATGTCCAGCAGCAACAACATTACAAGCCCTTCCAAATAAACTCAAGCACATGTCCAACAGCAACAACATTACAAGAACAATGAAAGAACCATACACAACATTACAAATGAGCTTCATTGACTTCTCAAGTACATGTCCAGCAGCAACAACATTACAAGAACAATGAATATCACAAATTACAAGCACCAACAGCAACAACATTACAAGAACAATGAAAGAACCATACACAACATTACAAATGAGCTTCGTTGACTTCTCAAGTACATGTCCAGCAGCAACAACATTACAAGCCCTTCCAAATAAACTCAAGTACATGTCCAGCAGCAACAACATTACAAGAACAATGAAAGAACCATACACAACATTACAAATGAGCTTCATTGACTTCTCAAGTACATGTCCAGCAGCAACAACATTACAAGAACAATGAATATCACAAATTACAAGCAGCAACAACAGCAGGCAAACTCGTTAGACATGGCCAGCATTTGATTATTCTCAAATAAACTCAAATAAACAACAGCCACAAACAAGCCCTTCCAAATTTCAAATAAACTCTCACAAATTTGATACATTTTCTTGTTTCAAAACAGAAAAAGTTACAACTCATTGTCCTCCACTTTCAGGCTCCAAATAGTAAGATATAAGCACACACAGCTAAATGTCCTCCACGAAGATATAACATGAAAGAACCATACACAGTCTAAGCTACTTGGATGTTCTCTTTGCCAGTCCCAGTTCTATTCATCATCTTCCTGGAAAAAATAAGTTTGTAAGTAAACAGAAAATAAAACGACAATAACCACAAGCTGAAAAAGGAAGCATACGACAATAATGGAACATCAGAAAAAATAAAACACGGATCATACGACAATAACCACAAGCTGAAAAAGGAAGCAACTATCACAAATTGAACCCCAGGTTTAACTGCTTATAATAACAAAAGCAACAGGGGCTCATAATCGATAACTTAAGTTGCAAATCTGAAACAACTGTTCAAAAGGTTCTCACAAATCATAGGTCTGTCAAATAATGATAAAGATAAAATTCAACGAAGTAGAAAGTTATGATTCAGTTATGATTCTTATGAACGACACGTGTTTCAACATAGAAAAGTTAATCAGTGTCAAAGGTGTCCAATGTATTTTCATTGTGCTGCACACATAGGCACCCAGAAGATGCAAAGTTGCATATTATTGTCATAGCTAAGATCCAATCAATAAGAAAGATAAACTAATATGGATTGGAGTATGAAGCTCATGCAATGCCAAGACTTTGCCAGTACTTCCACAAATACAACCATACCAGACTCCAAACTACCAGAGCTAAATTTGTTCCACCTAATCTTCAAACACGGGTCAAACAATCCAAATCTACATAGATAACCAAAAATAGCATTAATTACATCTTTCGTGCTTTAATTTGTTTCTTCACAGCCAGCAGTTAACAGAAAATATTGGTAGTTTCTGTAATATAAAGTCGGATGGACTCTTAAATATTTGGAATTAGTTCTAATTTTCTTTCGATTCCAGGACAACGATTTAGTCTCAAGAGATCGAGAGAGATGGTTAGGGTTTTTACCTGCGTCGGCGTCGAGAGAGAGAGGATGAAGCGGCTTCGACGGGGCGTCGGCGTCGGCGTCGAGAGAGGGAGGAGGAGGGTCTTCGAGAGGAGGCGTCGACGTCGGCGTCGAGGGAGCGCTGCAGGGGAGGCGTCGGCGTCGGCGT